ACCCCCCATCATCCTCACACGAGGAAACCAAGAGAACGTGTTGACCTTTTACTGCCAATAAAACCTCCTGGATTCCTGATGACTTGGGATGTGAATTTTTCAGGCTGGTTTTGGTCCTGGAGCGTGCTCCTCTGGGAGTGTGGGGGAGCAGTGAAGGCACAGTGGCTACCAGCCCTCTGGAAATGCCCACCAGGCACAGCTGCCACCCTTTTACAAACACTTGTTTGGCCCATCTCAGGCTTTGCAGGTTGTACATCAATAAACAGCAATGCTGGCCCTGCAGTGCAGGTACTGCTCTGACCTGGGGTTAGCCAGAGCCAGGCAGGGGAGTGTTGGGTCCTGCACTTGCATGCCCAGGAGAGCCCAAGTGGTGTGCAGGGACTGAATGCTGGCCCAGCAAGGCCACTGGTCCAGGATGGGAACAGCCCCAGGGGCTGGGAGCAGGTCAGCACCAAGCCTAGGGGCTGCAGGGCCCCAGCATATCCCCTCAGAGACAGCTAAGCCTGTCCCCAACAACTGAACAGCAGTGAGCTGTCACCTCAGACTGTGGTGCCTGGCTGCAGATGCAGGTCCAGCTCCTCATGGAGACAACATTTAGCACCAGAACAAGGACATTTCTGGTGCAGATGGCCCCAAGCAAAGCTCAATTGCAAAAGCACAACCCAGGCCCCCTTGTCACGCTGCAGAAGAAACACACAACATTCATTCACCTCATGAGTTACAGAATTTACTGATAATCACCACCAGGATTAAGAGTGTCAGTAGAAAAATAAAATGTACAGACTTTTCAATCATACAAAGATTTGTTCATGACAGCCGCAGCTGTGAGCGAGAGGAAGCCGGTGGGGGCAGAGGGGATGTCACACACAGGGAGCAGGGCCACGAGCCTCAGCATAAGTGGGTGTTCCTCCAGGGCAGGCAGCTTCTCCAGGTGTTTCCTTAATCCCCAGCAGAGGCTCACAGCACTGCTGAGCCCAGTGTTGATGTTTTTGTTAGCTCTTCACAGTTTTTGGCAAGTTTGACTGAGCAAAGTCTACCAATACCTGATGAAAATTGAAGGGATTCCTCCACATCCCTCACTTGGAATAAAGGAATGGAAAGGGAAGGCCAAAGCAATGAGGGGAGGAAACTGCCACCAGTGCTTCAACTGCCATCTGGTGCTTCAGCTCAAGGCTACTCCTCCTTTCTGTCTAGCTCTGGTTTTCCTGGAGAGGGAGGCTGCCAGCAGCAGCCAGCAGAGTGAGGCTGCTCTGTGAGCACCAAGGTGACACAAAGAACTTGCCTCCTGTGCTAATATGAAAAGACAAATCAGCTGATTGTTCACCTTTTATGCAAGAACTTCCTGAAAATTTCACAGCATCTAGGCAGAGAGAGACATTGCCAGCTCCAAACAGGGGCAAGCTGCCAACTCTTCAAGTAAACCAGAACCACCTCAAACAGACTCTCAGAGATCCCAAGGGACAGAAAACAGGAGGTTTTCAGTTCACCCAGCACTGAGTGACTTTACTGAGCAATTTTTCACTTGTTCTGAGCTCTGTGACAGCCCCATTTGTGTCCCCCACGCCTCAGCCCTGCTCCTGCAAGGAAACCTCCTCTTGCTGTAGCACAAGCACATGTGCTGGGGCACATGGATAAAGTGCTTTTTCAGTTGCAATCAGCTTAATGGCTATTGAGTGGTGCCAGGCACCAGTGCAGGGTAAAGGAGGGCACAGCAGGCGCTCAGGACATTGGTTTCTGGTGTCACCTGAAAGGTAAAGCCAGACCCACCCTATTCAAACTCCATGAGATACTTTTAATCCATCCAGGAAAACACAGGATAATTCCTGTAAATTAAACTGTGCACTCTGTACCCATGCTGAAATATGCAGTGGGAAAGGGGAAAAGAAAGCAAGCTTATTCCTTCCTTTTCATTGTTTCTGCCCTCGCAGGAAGACTGGCTCTCTACAAGCAGCACAAGCACACAGGGCTCTCCACAGATCCAGGGTTGAGTGTATGTTACACCACTTGGACCTCACCCACCTAAGGAGAAGGATTCACATTAAATTATTTCCTGAACTGTGCATCTATATTCCCTGAATTAACATAGGCTAAAATTTAGAGTAATCTCAATTAGTAACTCCTGCGAAACACCTCTCACCATTGACAGACCACTCTTCAGGAGTCAGTGCATAGAGAATCCTGCTGAAGGATCACAGAATCAATTTAGTTTAGAAAAGCTCTCCAAGATTCAGTCCAACCTTTGACTGTTCACCACCTCATCATCCAGACCATGGCACTAAGTGCCACGTCCAGTCATTCCAGCACTGAGGACATGGGCTCATGGTAGGTAAATGGCCCTAGGAAATGCTGCAGGTACAACAGGAACTGATTTGGAAACCAGAGGAATGCAGTGAAGACACAGATGGGAACAGTCCCCTGAAAGGCTGGACACACACAGTGCTTTCCCTCTGCAGCCCACACGGGGTGAGCTGGGTACAAACACAGACCACAGCAAACCCCTAGGGGTGGCTGCACTGCCCAGCCACATCCCTGGAATTCAACCTCAGCTTCCCCAAAGAACCAAGCCCCAGGAAGCTTCTGGAAGCTGCTCAAGTGCCCCAGCCATGCAGCACAACTCCGGGCACAAGTGCAGAGCTACCCATTAGTTAAAAGTCACTTAAAACCAAAACAAACTAAAACAATTAATGAGGAGACAGTACTGCCTGTGGAGAAGGGCTGGTGTGGGGCTGTGCTCATATGGACACAGGAATCAGCCAGGCTCCTGCCAGGAGCCTTGCAGCTCTCCCAGCCCCAGCAGGCTCTTGGCTGGGTGCCAGGGTGGCACACTGGGACACCCAGGTCACAGCCCAGCCTGGGCACGCAGCTCTCAGCAGCAGGGATTTTATCCAAGCTGGCCAGTGCCACTCCCAGGTCAGTGCAGACACCCAGCTCCACCTCACCAACATCAACAGCATCAGCAAGTCAAGGGAGAACAGGGTTGTCTGAAATCACAAGTCTCCTTCAGAGCCTGAGGAGAGCTGTGCACCCCCACATGCACACCTGGGATTCCTGGAGTGCCCATTCCACTCTGCTCTGCCTCTGGGACAAACATTCACAGGGCCAGAAGAGCTTTGCTGCAATAAAACTCACACAATCTTTTATACCAGACATTTCCCCTGCACAGCATTCACAGCCAGAGCTCCCAGACACAAATCTGCACTCTCATCCATCTAAAATGAGTTCTCCTTTTGCTGATCCCAAATCCACTATGGCCGTGACCTGGTATTAAGAAGTTTGGGCCAGGCAGAAAACAATTTTTTAATTTAAAAACTGACATTAAAAGAGCTTCAGGTTCACTGAAAGCCAAGCAACAAAGTGGTGAGTGAGCTCTGAGGACATGATGTCACTCTGGCCCTGTTCCCACCCCAGCACAGCTGGTGTCACATTTTAGTCACTTCCTGTTACTACAATTCATCACTGGTGAAAGGTACCCGGGGCTCCTCCTCTGGTAGCCATTTTCCTACCCTCCAGAGAAATAAAGCTTCACTTGGCACTTAATGTTACCAAAAAGTAACAAAATTCACGATTTTAAAATTTCAAGCCAGGCTGGAGGCAGGAGCAAGCCGTCCCAATTCCTTAAATCAGCAGAAGAAACACAAGGCTGGAGCTGTGCTCCCTGTGATTTTGTTCTGAGGCAGCAGGTCCTTTGCTCCCCTCTGGTTTGTGCTCTCCAGCCTCTCCAGAGGAGCTACAGAGTGGCCAGAATGCGCAGGAAGGAAACCACCACCACACAGAACGTCTGGCCCACGCCAAAAATCAGCGCCTCAAAGGGAATCATTTTTTTCCCCGCAGCTCTGTAAACTCCAGCAATGGCAGCACCTGTGGAGAGGGGGAAAAGCCAAGATGTCAATGTCAGACAGCTGCTCTGCACAGGGATGAAGGGAGAGCCCGAGGATGCGAGACTGGGGCAGAGAACAGCGGGGTCTGAGCCTCTCCCTGCCCACCAGCAGCTGAGAATGCTGGGCTGGGGATGCCTGACAAGCCTCAGCCAGGAACCAGCGCGTGCTGGAGGCCATGGGAGAACTGCTGCTGAAACTGCTGAGGCCTCCAGCAGCTGTGGGGTTTGGGTGGTTTGGGACATACCCTCGTCCCAAGATCCCCCACCCACAGCCCACAGGCTGCAAACATTACCCAGTTCTGGACACTGACACCTGAGAGATTTTCCTCCAGGTGCTCAGAAATGTGAAAGCCCCCTTGGCTCTGCACGGGCACGTTTGGCATGCCCGATTCAAGGCTGGACACAGGGTACGGTCCCACTCTTTGAAACGTGGGGAAAGGGGGAAGTAAAGCCAGAACGGTGATCTCCACCCCGGGGAACACCGGCACTCCACGCGCTGCCTACAGCAGCCTCTGATCAGCCCAGCCCCCCGGCCGGCAGCCGGCCACTCGCCGTACTTGTGAGGGTGCCGGCGCTGATGGGTCCCACGATGCCCATCAGCAGGACGCTCACGGACATGAACCGGCCGTACTTGTGGTGCCGGAGCGTGAACAGGGCAAGCAACGCGGCCGGGACGTGGAAGGCAAGGGAGGAGACGAGTGCCCACAGGAAGACGCCGTACCACATCTCTGCGGAGAGAAGGGCTGTGAGGGCGGCCCGGGGCCCGCAGGCTCCAGCGGCCCCGGCGGGCGGACGCCGCTCCGCGTAGGGAGGTACCTGGGAAGGTGGAGAGCGGGCTGGAGTAGGTGGTGGTGCCATTGCCCACGCGGGGCACGAGGCGAAGGCTGAGGATCTGCTGCAGGAGCCCCCCGCCACCACCGCCCGCTTCGCCGCCGTCCATCCCCGCAACGGCCCCGCCGCCATCCGCCACCGCCCCTTCCGCCCGGCCCCTTCCGCCCGTCTCAGCCAATGGAAAGCGGTGTAAGATGATAGACAGGGCTTAGCACCAATCAGCGCTAGCCTCGGGGCAGCCGGGCCCAGCCCGACCCCGCGCTGCCATGGGAACGGCTGTGGGCCGCAAGGAATGCTGGGAGCCCCGGTGGGGCTGGCGGGACGCTCTGGCCCGTTGGCGGACTCTCGTCTCTCCTCCCCGCGCTCGGCGCCGCCTCGGAGGCGCGGCCGTTCTTCCCGCCCGCCAGGGGGCACCCGCGGGCGGCAGCGGCGCTCTGGGTGGCGCGGGCGGGAGCAGCGAGGCGGCGGCGGCAGCAGCATTTTTTAATAAAATACATACAGTCCTAAAGTTAAGAGAGAACCTCCTGGATGTGTTAATAAAAATATGAAATATACTGTTGCTTCACCCAAGCTTACAGTTCAGCCCTGGAATAGTGTTGCAGCAGCTCCATATACATTTTTTCTTCTTTTTTGGCATCTGCTTTCAGGAAGAGGAAGAAAGGCGGTCTCTTGCTAGAGGCAGATGAGAAAGAGGAAGAAAAGGCCCAGCAGAATGGAGAGGAGCAGAAAGAGGAGGAAGCAGATAATGTAGAGCAAGTCGAAAGAAGCAGAGAAGAAGAAGAAAAAAAGAAAGAGGATGCTCTTTGGGCCAGTTTCCTCAGTGATGTAGGGCAGAAGCCCAAAGCTGTGGCTGCCACACAAGGGACACAAATCAAGAAGGTAACGGGGCCTGGGCCTGCACCCAGGGAGTGTGGGAAGGGCCTGAGGGTTTGCAGCATGCCCCCTTGGTTCTGGCTGGTATCAGGTGTTGGACAGAGCTGGGAAGAGGCTGGGGCTGCCCCTCCCCCTCTGCTTTGTGAGACTCACATCCCCTGATGGGCCAGACTGCAAGGTGCTGGTTTCCTTCCAGATGTGGAGGTGGTGCTGCTTTTGGAGCTAGCGTCAGCATCTTTGTCAGCATCTTTGAGTGTCCTACACAGCCCTGTTGGTTTTCTTTCCTGGTCCTGGATTCCTCTTTTGGCACAGGAATGGTGAGCTTTGGTCTGAGTTGTGCACGTGGGCACAGCTCAGCCCGAGGCTTGTGCTTTTCCTCATGCTTAAAAGAGAAAAAAAGAAAAAAAAAGAGGAGCCTTTGTATGTGTGTGTGAGTGGGGAAACAAGAGGGGTCTGTGCTGGCATCTCTGTGCCTCCATCCTCGTGGAGGGGGTCTGGAAGGTGCTGCATGTTGCACCTTTGCAGCAATATTGAATCTGGCTTTCTTGTGTCCTTTGTAAGCCCCAGTAAGGTGCTCTCAGTTTGCAGAGGTTTTTCTGGAGAGAGAATTCTGTGTGTGGTAGCTGTTTGAAAGGATTTGGTTCTCAGTAAAACCAAGTGCATGTGTTTCCCTGTCAAAACCTTTCATGCTTTAGGTGGTAGAAGGGAAGAACGCACCACAAGTGAGCCCCTGTTGCTAGAATTGTCAGTTTGGGGTTTTTTAGATGGTCAGCTAAAATAAATGTTCAGTAACAGAAGGCTGGAGTCTGCCTGGACAGTACAGTTCTGCCCTGTGAAGCTTCTTTCTGTGACTGTTGGGAGGTTGTGGAGCAAGTAGGGTTTTGTAGTATTTGATTGCAACTTTTGGAAGGAGAGTGCTTTCATCTTAGCCCTCCTGCTTCTCCTTGTTACTGACTGAGCAGCTGGGGTGCCTACTTGTACAGTCAGGGGGAAGAAGAGAAGTGAACACTTTCTTCTGAGCAGTTCTGCTTTTGTGGTCAGGTTGCTAAAATGTGAGATGTCTTTGAAAGTTCCTCCATAGCCTGGAATAATTCATGGAGACATGCAGATCCTCTGTTCTCTTTGTGAACTTCTTGGGCTTGCATTACTTTCTAGAAGACCTCTGTGGTGTGTGGTTGATTTAGACCAAGAATTTGGGGTTTGCTTTGGTAACTTACAGTGGTTGAGGTTTTTTATGTATCCTTTCAGTAGCTGTAGCTGTGACTGAGTAAATTAAGAGGCATTGTTGACAAATTGCTTGATAAAGATTTTTCCTTCTCAAATATTGACAAGTAGGGAGATCAGCATTGCTTTTTCTGCTGATGAGTTTTGTTATTCTCTATTCTTGAGTAAAAAATACACATACTTCAGTGGAATTCACCTTGCAGCTTTCCTGCTTGGTGGTGCTTAGTTTGAGAGAACCAAGTCTCCAGGCTTTTGCTTGCTTTCTGAACCACTGCAATGCATTCTTGCTCCTTCCTACATTTTTTACAATTTCACTTCTTGTTTTAGTTTGTTTTGATCCTAGAGCCTCAATGACAGCCTGGAACCAAAATGGGGAATTTCATTCTGGTGGGATGAAATTTATTTATTTATTTTATCTGTCTGTGGGTGACTTGTTTTGACCACCAGTCTAAATTGCAGTGCTACCCAAGGTCTGTGTTGGGCCCTCGGCCTTTTGGAATAATAATTTGGCTTGCCTCCACAAATGCATTATTTTGCTTTCTCCTTCATGTATTTTGTAGACTGAAGAAAAGAACAGTGGGAATAAGCCTCAGGAGAAGCCAAAAGATTCAGGAAAAGTGACAATCACCAAAACGTTCGATTTTGCTGGTGAGGAAATCAAGTAAGTTGGCAGATGTGATGTGTCCATTGTGGGCCCAGTGCAAACTGAGTGCTGCTGTGCTGGGGGCAGGCTGGAGCTGGGCTCTGGGGCACAGTGGGTCTTCTTCACACTGCTTTTTTCTTTTACTGTGAGCACATACAGATCTCAGGGAAAATGAGGCCAAGATTTTCCTGCATCAGTGCTGCAGAGTAACCTTATATGCAGACCACAGTCTTTACTCAACTTCATAGCATTCATAAATGTGATTCAAATTCACTCAGGCTTCCCCATCTGGCCAGTGTTTATAATGGCTGGCAGAGCTCCCTGGTGGCACTGTCACTGGCAGGGTTGAGACAAGGAAGGAAGCACATCTGATCCCACAAGGATGAGGGTAACCCCTTTTATTCCTTCAGCCTAGTCCAGGTTGTGTGCTGTGGGCAGGATATTGGCTGGCCCTTTCCCTGGTGATGTTCACAATCCACAAAAAGATTTGCAGGCAGTAGAGGCGTTTTGCTGAGCAGACTAACAGCTGAGTGCTTTTGCCTCTGAAACACCTGCAGCAAAGGGGATGGGCTGGGTAAAATCATTCTTTAGCTGAGTTTGGCTGATGAGAGGCCTCTCAGGCTGTGCTGCAAGAAGGGCCAGGTGTTTTATAAATGCATAAGACCAGAACTGAGGGGCCTGGCTGATCACACCTGAAAGCTGACTGCCCTGTGAACTGCTGGTTCTTGTCATGGAGGATTTTGTTTATGTGTAGCAGTAAACCAGGTTTTGTCAGACTAACTTGGCCTGTTCCGTGTGACAGCAGAGGGCAGCAGTTCCCAGCAGTAACACTCGCCCTGCCTAAGTCTGGAGGAGGAGGCAGAGCTGGGGCTTCTGCTGCTCTTGCTTTTCAAGTTAGCACTGCTGCCTGAGCTGTTTGAAAAATCTGAGGAGAGCTGGGAGCCGTAGTAGGGACTCTGCTACTTCCCTGGGCAAGGCAGACCATAGGAATACCCTTGTTCACTGGTGAACTTCATTCACTTTGTTCACTGTCCTTTGAAACATTGGTTGCCTTATGTGAACAGAAGTTGTTCAGGGCTCCTAAGACTCTGATTTTATGCTTTTGACATCAGTATCTTATCTGTAGTTTCTTAAGAACTGTAGCTAAGAAAAAGATATATTTTCCTGCACCAGTTGCTTTTTTAGCGTCCTTTGTAGTGCTCAGTGCTTACTGCTTCTCTTGGGAAACTGCAGAGGAATCAGTAGAAATTTCTACCAGTTTTTGATGAAATAGGCAATAGCTGGAACTTGGATGACAATGAGACTTTCATTCTGCAAACCCCAAGGCTAAATGCATGTTTTGTTCAGTTATTATATCAATTGGTTACAGAACCAGCAACAGAAGGTTTGCAGTGAGGTCTGGAGCACTTTTTTTCTGCTGGTGCCAGAGTTACAACAAAGTCATGTTCTTGAGCTCTTTGATAACAGAAAAATCCTTCAATGTTTTTTGCCCCCTTGATCTTTGTGATATGCAAAACTGATTTTTTTTTTTTTATGTTTGCTACATCTTGCTTCTTTAAATGGGTTACACTGTTAGCTGTGGGTGGGGTACAAGGTGTACTTGCTACTCACAGCTGCTGGTGCTTTCCCCTAATGGCAGGAGGTGAGGCCCAGAGGGCTGCTCTTTCTTCAGACTAGCAGGAGGTTGTCTTTGCACCCCCCAATGTCTGCAGATGCTCTGAATACCAAGCACTGGCTTCCTTGCCTGGGGAAGCAGCTGGCAAATCGTTGCTTATAAAAGGCCACCACACGGTAGTTGTGTGTGTGTGCATTTCTGCACTGGAGGAACTGAAATGAGAGCTGTCTCTGTTGCTTGCCTTTCTGAATGGTTTGAGGCTACTGTTGAGTGTTGCTCTTTTGAAACCTTGAAAAGAATTTAGATCAGTGTTTAAGCAGTGAAAGATTCAGGGCACAAATTTTCCCAGTCTGCTCACTGAAGCTTTTAACAGAAGATCATTTAGCCCTGATCTGTTGCAGAACAATTTATTTTCTCCTGTAAGAAGATGGTATGATTTTCTGGCCTGACTGAAGTAGCACAAGTGGTTTGAAAGTGATCTCCAGCTACAGGGCTATACTGGAATAGTAAAGGGACTTTGTGTTGTCAACTCCCCTGCAGGTTTTTTCTGCACTTAATATCTGTTTTGATGAGTCCACGCTTGTATCAGTTGCTAGTGCTGAACTTTAGCTTTGGAGTGTTAAGAATTAACAGTTACCAAATGAAGATTTTAATTTAGTGGTTTCTAATTTTAGAAAATACATTATATAATTTTGCCTTGTAAAGCTAAAGCTGTTGAATCCTGGAACTAGAAACAATCTTAAACTGATTGCAGTGCTTTCCAGTTGGGACTTTTTTTGTCTGCTTTTCCTGTCTCCCTCATGTTAAATAGATTAGGAGCAGCAGGTGACTGTCACCCAAATGGCTGTAATTGTGGGCAGCAAGAGCAATTTGCAAAGGCAATTCAGCATCTAAATGGAAGTTCAAGCCATTTCTCCCTGGCAGAAGAGACTGAAACTCCTTTGAAGCCTCTGGTTTATGAACTTGCCTCACAGTGCAGGACGTGTGTTTGCATTAATAGGGAATTACATCCCTAGTGCCAAGAGAAAACTGTTGCAATTTGTAATTGCTTATGTTCTCTTTGACACTCCAAAAGGATTTGGTCCTTGGCTTTCTTTAAATCTCTGTTGTGCTCAGTGCATCAAAATGATTCTTCTGTGCTCTTTCCATGCAAGTGAACTTTGTGTCCAGCTGGGACTGCAGCAGAGTGGAGCTCACATACTTGGAGCTGGTCTGGCCCCGTGGTGTCAGTGGGACAGCATGAGAGGGAAGAGCAGTGTCAGGTTATTGATTGCTGTCAAGACAGATTTTACTTTGAAACGTCTTCTCTACCTTAATTTGGCTTGTGGAAGGCAAAACTAAGTTAGAAGAGTAATGGCTTGGGTGCTAATTCAGGAATGGGAGGCCTGTGTTCAGCACTCTGCTGTATTCATACACTGCAGATTCCAAGTAAAGGGCTCCAGACTAGGAGCTTTGTATTTCCACATGTGGTTTGTTTGTGTGGCTTAAAGCCAGAGCTTTACACAGGTTATTCTTGTGCTGGGAATGCTTTCCTGCTACTGCAGAGTTGCTGTGCTGTACTGATGATGCTGTATTGTGCTGGCAGAGCTGTGGCTTGTGCTGCTTCAGTGACTTGGCTGCTTCCCATGTGCATGAACCAAGCAGCCAAAGCAAAGCCATAGTAGGGCTCCACTCTCCATCTGTGAATGGGGAGGTGTTCCTGTCACAGCTCCTTTCTCACAAGGATAGGTGGGGTCCACACTGAGCTGGTGCTTTGCATGGGCCAAATCAAAGTAGGAAGGGCCAGTGCCAAACAAGCAGTGTCACACTGAGTGTGTGACTTGCTGCTGGATATAAGGAATACTTAAAGTTTATATAGTTCTGTAGAAAGAGGTGGGCAAACTCATCTCAAAACAGTGTGTTGAGCTGTTCTGTGTGAGACATGAACTCCCATCTCTGGATTAGGGTTCCCTGTTGTTGACTTGTGTAGGAGACCACATTTGTGACTTAGAATAGCCCCTGGGTCGCTGCTGTGGGACTGCTTTTACTTGTGTGACCACTGTGCTCTGAGGAAACAAGCTGTGCTGGTCCATGTGCTGAGCAGAGCTGAGTGGCAGCTTGTATTCTGGGTTAGGAAACATGATGGTTCACAGTGCAGCTATGACATCTTAAAAATAGAAGTACCTAAGGTATCTGATTTATAACCAAATAGTTATAAGCTTATATTAGTGTAGTAATTACTGAGGTTTATACTGGCTGAATTTGGTACTTCATCTGCCACAGCTGAAGTATGGGTTGAAAAAGAACCTGATTATCATCTGTTACTGTTTGTAAGTGGTTATCATCTAGGATGTACCTGGACAAAACCTCATTGCTCATTCTGTGTTTCTGCTTCACAGGTTTTCAGCCTACATAAAGGATTCAGGAAAGATTATTCAGAGGAGATTGTTTGCAAGTAGAAGTTTAAGGACCTTAAGCTGGATCTTAAGTTGAGGGGTCTAGTGGTGAAGTGATTTTTGAGCAGAAGGAAGGTGACTGAAAGCAGGTTCTTCTCAGGAGGCTTGCCTGTGCTAATGAAAGCCCTTTCTTGGCCAGTGCCCCAGTCTCTGTACAGGAATGCCATTGGCAATGGGAACTGTGCAGGCACAGCTACAGACCGTGGATGGAGTTTCTTTTTTTGGTGTCCTGTGAAGTCACTGAGGTTTACCCTAGGCCTGATTGGGTGAGATGCTGAGGCCTGAGCCCAGTCTGAGGTGTTGTCCAGGTTGCTGAGCTCTTCACTTTGGTGAGCTCCTCAGCAGAGTTGTGCAGACCTGGTGGAGGACTGATTTATTCCTTTGCACCAAGAAGTGCTGACCTCAGAGTGGAGGTGAGGTTATAATTCAGTTCTCTGCAGCTGTACAGTACTGCTGCTTTGGGATTTCTTTATGCTGCCTCTCCTTACTGAAATATTGATTTTCTGTTATTAATTTTAGCTCACCTGTGTGCTTGTTGGATGGACAGCTATGTCCTAGATTGCTCACTGCTTTAACTCTGAATCTGCTGTCCTCTTCCAGAGCTACAGCCACTCGATCCCAGACCTTTTTAGGAGACAGCAGGTGGAAAGGGCTGCAGGAGAAGCAGATACCTGAGAACAGCCTGAGCTTTCCACAGTCCTTGCTCAGGCTCTGATTCCTTATCACTGGCTGTGATGTCCTCTCTGCTCCTTACATGACTACTAAGACCAACTAAATGTGACAGAGCTGGCAAACAAAGGGTGTGTTAGTCAAGGAGTTTGGGAGTCTGTCACTTATTTTGTTGCTTTGAAGACAGTTAAGGTAGCTGTCTGAGCAATAGCAGCTGCTTCTGCTTTTTCCTGGAAAGCAGGAAGAGTGGAAGGAAAATCCTGGTGCTGATGATGTATGTCAAGGGGAATGGGTAAAAA